CACGTCCAGTACCCCTCAGTAACAAACCCAACCGCTCCTGTTCTCTCCATCAGCAACTCCTGCAGCTTCTGTGTAAAGATCCCTAAAATCACATCACCCCCTCCTGTGTTCAGCTCCTCAGACCATCTCACTCCCGCCGTCTATGTGCAGCTCAGACCATGTCACCCGTCTCCCCACACCGCTTATCGCTCTTCTGCCGTCTGGATTGTACCAAGTTGGTAAGTTACCACTAATAACTAAATGCCATCTCCTCATCCAGCTCTTCACCCGCATCAGTGCTGCGGTGGTCTACAGACTTCAGGAGGGGAAGTACGGCTCGTATGTGTCCTAGTGCGCTGCAAGCGGGGAGGCCCGTATGCGTCCTAGTGCGCTGCAAGCAGGGGGGGCCGGCCAAATGCGTCCTAGTGCTCTGCAAGCGGGGAAGGGCTGGCCGAATATGTCCTATTGCGCTGCAAGCGGGGAAGGGCGGGCCGAATATGTCCTAGTGCGGTGCAAGCGGGGAGGGGCGGGCCGAATGTGTCCTATTGCGCTGCAAGCTGGGTGGCCCGTATGTGTCCTAGTGCGCTGCAAGCGGGGAGGGCCAAATGTGTCCTAGTGCACAGAAGGCCGGGCCAAATGTGTCCTAGTGTGCTGCAAGCGGGGAGGGGTGGGCCAAATGTATCGGACGCTGCAAGCGGGGAGGGCCAAATGTGTCCTAGTGCGCTTTAGGCCGGGAGGGGCGGGCCAAATGTGTCCTAGTGCGTTGCAAGCGGGGAGGGGCGAGCCAAATGTAACGGACGCTGCAAGCGGGGAGGAGTGGATCACCCCTTCCAGTCCACAGCATTACACTAGCAATGCGGTGGGGAGCCGACTCACAATCTACCAGCGTTAGCTTGGTGTACGGTTGGTAGATTGCGATCTACCTAATGGGCACCCCCGCCGTAATTCATTGAATTTCTAGTCCCGCCTGTGGTCGCCTTGGCAGGGCCAGTCATACCCCACCCCTGTCGTAAATATACCATTGAAAAGGTTTTGTTATATTTGATCAATGAGTGCAAAATAAAATACACAAAAGTCTCAAGAGCTGACAAGTGGTGTCTCCAGATCTCAGTGGATTCTGCAGTCCTGTCCTAGGGTGACAACACTGCTCCTCAGTGAGTGTTGTCACCCTAGGACAGAAGCATGTCATTGTAGGATCCTTAGGTGGACATAAAGGTTGACAGACTTTTGTTCTAAGGTTTAGAAATACTTTAGGGCAACACCGGGCTTCCTGCCTATAATTAGGTTTACGGCCCTCAACACCAAGATAGTTTTGGTAACACAAGCTTCTTTTTGTAGGCCTAAGGACACATTCACACCAAATCCAGATCATCTCCAGACCCAAAATGCATCCTAATGTATCCCTGTGCCATTTCTGGCCTCTGTTTACATGGTGTCTGGTTTGGAATGCACTGGAACGTCGGGCAGGTACAAACCATTTTCCGGACCAGTTCTGGTGCGGAAAATGTGGTGAACCTGCCCTAAAAGGAACAGTCCACCAGTAACATCAATACCGGGTTCACAAAGATAAAATCAATTGCCTGAGCCAGCTCTAACAATCCTAAATTCCAAGCTGGAACTTTGCACCCCTCTTTAGACGACAACATTCAGGCCTTGGAACCGGCCGCTAGGCATTGAGTACTTCCAGAAGGCCGAGACACAGCAACAAGGGATGGTAGCTTCCCAGTTCTAGGCCAATCATTTAGGCCTTGTTCACACCAAGAGCGTTCCAGGAGCAGAGCAGAGCAGTCACAGACCGGATCAAAACTGCGTCCAATGTATTCCAATGGTATTTTGGGCTCTAGTTCACACCGCAGCGTTCAGTTCCAGAGCATGTAAAAAAAACTGCAGTAAGCCCTCTTTTACCTGCTCTGGAACGCATGCAAACGCCCTGGAACGCACTAAAAGCCCATTCTAAACTAAAAACAAAAAAAAGGGCCGGAACGCATCAAAAACGCATCACATCCCACTGAACTGCGTGTGCAGAAACTCATGCAGATCTGGTCTGCATTTGGTGTGAACCAGGCCTTACGCAATCTGGTTACCTCGCTTCCAAAATCTGTACACTATTCATAATGGACGTCCCTTAACACTCGTTCACACCTGAACGTTTTGTAGCGCGTTCTACGCCTGACGAACGCTCTACAAAACGCTCAAACATGAAAATCCCATTGTATTCAATGGGTCTGGTTCACACCTTGCCGTATTTCAAGCCCGTCCCTAACGCGCTACAAAACGGCCCACGCCTGAAAAGCTACATGTACTACTTTGGGCCGTTTTTGTTGGCGTTTCCATTGGGATACAGCCAAGTAGCCCTCGGAAACACGCGTTTGGCACGCAATTTTTTTACCGCGAATTGCGGTAAAAAAAACACGCGACAAACACGCATATGCAATACGCCTAGGTGTGAACCAGGCCTTACATCTGGGTGCAGCCTACCATTGCAAAAGACCTAGAACCGCACACGTTGCCTCAAACTGTCCAACACAGCGCAGGGCAGGAGATCCGGACACCGCGTGTGCATCATACAGAAACCAGACCTAGAATGATCTGCGATGGGCCGTCGATGGGAAGAAGCGCCCTTTGTTCTCTCCCAGCGCTAATGACATATTACAAGGAATCTGGAACTTCAATTAGCCGGAGACGTGTACATTTCGGAGGCGCCAGAAACAAAAAGGACTCTGCTAGAAATCGGTCAGCCCAACTATATCCATGTACCCTACGGAGCACAGGCAGGGGGGAGGATGGGACTGGAGATGGGCCCACGACATAGGAAGGAAGATCTGGGGTGGGAAATGGCTGCCGGGTAAACACCCCAAAAAATACGGTAAAGGGTTTCAGAAAGCAGCTTCGCTATGGAGGACAATTACAGCTGCACCCCAAATATAACACGTACAATTGCTCCAGCTCGGCCTAATACAAGTACACATATGCTGCACCTGATCGGCCCGCGGGGATCCTGTAAGGCACAGTGGTAGATGGAGCTACAACAGTGCTGGCTGCGACCTCCCGGGCCCTGTATGGCATTGTGCTGAGTGGCCCCACCACTGCGCTGAAAACACAGGAAGGGTCACACACTTGGCACAGAAGCCATTCAGAGAACACCTAGCATGTTTATCAATGGATGCCAGCTGTTCTCTGATTGGGCAAAGGGTAGTGACATCACAATCTGCTCCTCTCGTCCAATCAGAGAACACCTTATATTAATTTATAAAAAATACTAGGCCTTTCCTGAATGGCCGCTGCGCCAAGCAAGTGACCCCGTGTTCTCAGAGTGCGGTACCAGGACCCAGAGGATCGCAGCCAGCACTGTAGTAGCTCCGGCTTCACAGGACCCCCATGGGGCCGATCAGGTAGAACATACATACTTCTACTGGGCCGTGCGGGACCAATGCATTAGACGTACACCCGGAGTTCTGCTTTAACGTTTCAGTAACTGGTCACTTATATTTTACCTGAGTTACATCGTGGGCTTCTTTCTGGAAGTAAACTGAGGGACCGGCTCCTCCCAAAATCACAGACAAGCTGCATTACCTAATGAGGGTAAAGATGGCGCTCAGCCCATGTGGACAAAAAAAATTGTGTGTCTTACTGCACTCCTTACCGGATCTCCTGGGAGATAATGTCTGTAATAGGGTGCTCGTAGTGACCACGGTGGCATTAGTCTACGTAGGCTCAGCCCCTGGGAATGGGGGGCCACCTCAAGCCTACGAAGGCTCAGCCCCTGGGAATGGGGGGTCACCTCTAGTCTGTGAAGGCTCAGCCCGTGTGAATGGGGGGCCACCGCTAGTCTACGTAGGCTCAGCCCCTGGGAATGGGGGGCCACCTCAAGCCTACGAAGGCTCAGCCCCTGGGAATGGGGGGTCACCTCTAGTCTGTGAAGGCTCAGCCCGTGTGAATGGGGGGCCACCGCTAGTCTACGTAGGCTCAGCCCCTGGGAATGGGGGGCCACCTCTAGCCTACAAAGGCTCAGCCCATGGGAATGGGGGGCCGGCCACCTCTAGCCTACGAAGGCTCAGCCCATGGGAATAGGGGGCCACCTCTAGCCTACAAAGGCTCAGCCCAGCACCAATAAAAGGTAAACAGCGGAGGGACCACGGCTGTCATACTGAATGATAGGAGCACCCCACAGGCTGGAATCGACATACTTATAACGCCTGGGGTGGGGGAAGAGGAGTTGGTTAGTTTAGGGTATTTATGGTGCTAGGACTTGTATTTTTAATTAACTTCTATGATGCAAGCTCCTACAGATGCAAGCTCCTACAGGGGAGTCACATGACAGAAGCAATCGATAATACAAAATCACCGGCACTCCATAAAGCGTACAGACCTTGGGATGAGAGGTTGGTGACAACACGGGTGGCGCCATGTCAGATACGGTCCATAATAGAAGTCACCTCCATGATGTGTGCAAGAAGTCACTAACGACAATTTCAGAAAAAGTGTGTTACTTCTTCCACATATCATCGAGCGCGGGTGACTTCTATTATGGACATGACTGACGCAGTCATGTGACTAACGCTCTGTCGGACCACCCGGTGACCTCTGACCCTCTCCTACAACATCAATCATATGGCCCAATCACCTGCGGAGAAGAAAATGCTGCAGGAATTTCATATCACCATCCGGCACCGCCAAGAAGTCCAACAAAGCCCCTCAACTAAAGAATGGGAAGAGATCGCATCAGCCCAACGCAGCGCTCTGACTGAATGACCCAATCACCGGCCTAGGAACACTCGGGGTGGAGGCGGGCTTTATTCCAAAACAGAACATGGAGGAAATTCAGGAGGCATTGTAACCAGACATCTGATTTGGGTCTCACTGCGCCCAATATGCAACAGAGTTCTCACCTCAAAGCGGACCTTGCACCTACAAAGCAAGGTCTGCTTTTTTTTTTTTAATCACTTTCCCCTCCCCCCAATCA